AAACCCCTCGGAGGCTCCCACTGCCGGCGCCGTCCCCGTGCTCCCGGCAGCGGCTGGTGGGGGAGAAGCAGAAAATGCCTTTCTCCTATTTTTAGCTCTTCAGCGGTGTCATTAGAATAATCTGGGATTGGAAAACGTTGCTGTGCAAAATTGCCCGGCAAGGCAAAACTCAAAATGTAAAGGTCTGGGATGCTGGGGGGTAAAGGTGATGGGGATGGAGAGGAAACACGCGGCCGCGGCCAAACGAGAGCTGCCCGGGGAGCGCGGGTGGTGACGGGGGCGAGCCGTGCCGAAGTGACACAGAGCAATTTAATAGACACGTCCTTAATAACATCCCAGGAGAGGGGGGTTTAAATAGAGACGAGGTGCCTCCCAGGGCGGGTTATCCAGGCTAGCGGGACGTGCTCAGCGCTGGGGACATTTTTGCAGCCTTGTCAGCGATGCCACCAGGCTCCTCACCCTTTCCACCACGTCCCCTTAGTGCAGCCCTCGCAAACGCCCCTCCGGAGCCCAGTGCGCCGGGAATACGATACATCGGGAAGGGCTGAGCATTACAGGCAGGGCTGAGCTAAACCGGGGAGCTCGGCAAGGCCTTGTCAGCAAATGTCTTCCCACTGAACTGGGACCAAATCGATAGAAATTACACCCAGAAATCACACCCCTCCGAGTTGGAGCCACCCTCCGCCCTGCACAGGTCGCCTGCCCTCGTCCTCCTTTGCCCCTTGGACAACTTGGCAAAGTCCAAAGCTAAACATTAGCTCAGGTCATGGAGCAGCTGCCGATGGCCGACACGTCGCCCTCAGGCGTCCCTCGGCCGGGTCGAACCTCATCCCCTCGGACTCAGCCTCCACCTCTACTTTTCTCTGCTCAATTTAAGGAGCTGCCTGGCCAACCATCACTTTTATGCACCTTTTCCCCCAGTCTGTGCCCAGAAAGGCAGCGTCTCCCCGGCGGCACGGCCCTGGTGCTCCCTACCAAACCACCTTCCCAGCACCGTGCCATCGGTTCCCCTGGCACTGCTCCTCCTTTCTGTCCCACAAGCTTTGGCCATCTCCAAAATATCTGATTTTGCATCCCAAACTCGCAGCTTGGGCTCATCCGTGTCCCTGCACCGGCAAAGGCTGCAAATGCAAACATTGCAGCTGGCTATTCGGCTGCACCCTCTTCCTGGCGGGGGTTCATCGGGGCTGTCCTGTAGCTGCTGCCATACCTCCATCACGAACCGTTTTGTTTTTTTTTTTTTTTTCCTTAAACTCGGGTCATGGGAAAAGCCGTAGATGGCTTTGGGAGCACGGCCGGGTTGGAGAGCATCGTTCCCGGCCCCTGCTGTCCCCTGTGCCGGGTTGGAGGAGGACCAGAGCATCTTCCCTGCAACGGACGTGTGAAACAGAGCTTGGAGGCTCATGGCAAACCCCGTGCAAACAGATATTGGGTCTGGGACACTGAATCGGACCCGTGCGGGTGTGATGGCTGCCGTGCTGCTGCAG